AAAGAGTGGCTTTTAAAAGTCTGGGAGGAATATTTATTTTAGTCCCCATAATTTTCAAATTATAAATATTAGGTGCCTTCAGTTTTCAAAATTTAAGGGGAAAATTAATTTTTGTTCCAAACTTTATTTTCCTTATACTTTGGCTATTGGTCGAGACATGTGAGATAAAATTATCGGAATCTAATATTAAAAAAAAAAAATTTATTGGCACCATTTAAATTTTTATAAACACCATTTATGATCATAAAATAACCAAAATTAGTGTCAAACTATTCCATTTGATAAAGAAAACTTAAATTAGTTGTTTTTTTAATCTTGAAATTTTTTTAAAAAATATATTTGAGCTTGGTAAGATTTTTTATTTTAGATTTCAAAGAGTTTTTTGAAGTCAGGAATAAGTTTATCAAGTTATGTAGGATATTTTTTACATATTTTAAATAAAAAAATAAGTTGAAAACTTGGTTTTTCAATTGAAAAAACTTAAAGGCTTAAACATGTGAGCCCTTACTAGATTAGTCATATGTATTCGCTTGACTTATCAGACCTAGTAATGTTTAATTTTTTTAAATAATTTTTATATGTATTTATTCAAAATAATTTTTAAATTTATATGTAAATTATTAATACTACTTTTATCTTCTTTTTTTTTATCTAAACTCTTTTAAATAATATTTATTTCTTAATTATTTTGTATACATTAAATTTTTTTAAGAGATTGTTCTAATTTATCTATGATTTTTTTATGTTTCATAGAAATAAGATTTATTAAAAATATAAAAAAAATATTTATTTTCAGATAATATTTTTAATATATGTAAACTTGCATAATATTTTATTTTATTTTATTTAAGTAATTTCATATGTGTTTATTTTTTATTTAATAAAATAAAAATTTGATTTTTGTGAGCAAAATCATTAAAAACAACGATATTAAAGTTCTAAATTATGAGATTGAATATCTTGTTTTATATTTGAATTTTATTTTTTTTAATTTTCATCTTTATTTATTATTAATAACTTTTCATTTTTTTTATTAACACACTTAGCTTTCAATGTATTTTATTAGATATATACATAAGTTTTTCTATTTTCACTTTTTATTTTTCTAAAATAAAAAACACTTTGAAAATACCTACATATATATATATATATATATATATATATTTATTTATTTATTTTTAAATCCTACCCCCGGCATAGCTATTTCTTTTCCAAAATGTTGCAGCAAGTAGAACTTTCATGCTCTATTTTACAGGATATCACTTGGGTCTAGTATGATTTCTTGCTTCTGGGTCTTTAAAGGCTAAAGATATTAAAGCTTTAAAATCACAACAGCTTGACCCGTCAAAAGGCAGGATGGAACCTAATTCTAAACCATGATAGAGTTACTGCTCCCTGTTGAAGAATATTTTGTTGTTCATGAAAGAATCGATCCTGAGGGACAAATAACCAGACACAAAAACACTGTATAGTGTCATGTAACGAGGTTGTTGATAGCCAGTAGTCAGTTCGAAGAACAATAACGAGCTTCTCCTTATTTTATTTTTCCTTATTTATTTTAGACCTAAAACTAGGATAAATAGGGTTGTCTAGGTTGTATTCTACCAGACTTGGATGAATACAAATTAAATATTTTGAATATCTTTTAGTATCTATAATATTCTTAATATTTAAGGGAAAAATATAATATTCTTAATATTTATGAGTTTTTACTCGTGATAAATCTCGTTGTCCTTTACTTCTAGTTTACGTTAACCATATATTAGTAGAGACAATTAATGTCTCACCATATACAAGTAAGAATAACTAACCTTCTATTTTATACATGATGAAGAACACAAATAGTAACTTAAATTATGACATGGTTTATACTTTTTCCCTCTCATTTGTGTGTGTGTATGTGGAGTGAAGAGTTGTGTCTGTGAGTGTTAAAAACATAGAGAGAACATAAGTGAAGAGAGAACTTGAGTGTAGAGATGAGTTGAAAAGAATTTTCTCCTCGTCTTTGTTTGTATTATTTCTTTAAGTGATTAATATAAAATAGTAGCTCCGTAAAGTAGGCAAGTTGCTGAACCACGTAAATTTGTATGTGTTTGAATGCTTGAATGTCCCAACAACTAGTATTAATGCTTGTTCTTAAAAAAGAGGGTGTTTGATCCAAACTTAAAAATAAAAGTTCTCAAACGTGTTTTTGAACATACCATTGTATGGAGAAAGACGAGACGAATCCACTAGTGAAAACCCGGTGAAGAACTGACACTTGCATGCCCCCACGCGCCAACACTCATCTTTTTCACTCGAATATCTGCAACTAAACCAAGTTGACCCGACACATCAGCACAAAGTCAGCAAACACAACAACAATTCTGCACAGGCAGCAACCATGTCATCTGACACGTCAGATAGAAAACCCATGTGGATGTGTCATGTCATCATATGTGGGCCCGTTTTGCTTACATGTCTGACACTATATCATAGCCATGTCAGCATACTTTAGTTTTGATCCAGTGTGACACAACCATTATTTCTCCTGACACGTGGCTTCATCTGCAACATCTAGTGATCCAAAAGTTTGATTGATAAAATCTAAGTCATCCAAAGTCTGATTTGGGTGATTTTAATGTCGTTTCTAATATTTTTGGTCATTCCAGACACATCTGCAAGGCCAGATTTGACAGATTCAAATCCAAGATATATTAAAAATGGCAGATGAAATAAAGGCTGCTAGAATTGAAAATTTTGATGAAATAGATTTTGGATATTGGAAAATGCAAATTGAAGACTATCTATATAAGAAAAAACTTCATCTTTCTTTGTTGGGGAGCAAACCAAAAAATATGTCAAAAGAAGATTAGCAAATTCTTGATAAACAAGTTTTGGGCATTATCCAGCTATCCTTGTCAAAAAGAGTTGTTCACAATGTTACAAAAAAAAAATCCACTGCAAGATTGATGGAAGCCTTATTTGGAATGTATGAGAAGCCCTCAACAAATAATAAAGTGCACTTGATGAAAAAGTTGTTCAATCTAAAGATGACAAAAAGCATCTTTGTTACACAGCTTCTCAATAACTTTAATACCATCACAAATCAATTATCATCTGTTAAGATTGAGTTTAATGATGAGATTCATGCACTCATTTTGCTAGCTTCACTTCCAAGCAGTTGAGAAGGTATGAGAACAATCATAAACAACTCAGCTGGAAAATCCAAACTGAAATATGATGACATTCGAAACTTGATTTTAACTGAAGAAGTGCGAAGAAAAGACTCAGGTGAAAGTTAAAGTTCAAGTTCAACTCTCAACATCAACACTTGAGGGAGGAGATAAGGTAAAGGCTTATCCAAAAGTAGATCAAAATCTAGGTACAGAAGTAAAAACAAGTCAGGACCTAGAAAGTAGATTGAATGTTGGAATTGTGGCAAACCTGGTCATTTCATGAGGAATTGCACAAAACTAAAAAAAACCCAAAGCTAACTCTGCAAATGCTACTACAGATGAGGTATAAGATGCTTTGATTCTTGCTGTACAAATTCCAATTGATGATTGGATCCTTGATTCTTATGCTTTATTCTACTTACACCACACCATGAAATGATGCAATATTATATTGCTAGAGATCACAAGGTAGTTTATTTGGTCAATGGACAACCAATGGATATTGTGGGTGTAGGAGATGTGCAAATCAAGACAATAGATGGTTCTATATGGAACTTGCAAAATATAGGGCATGTTCCTAGACTAAAGAAGAAGTTGATCTCAGTCGGACAATTTGATGATAGTGGTCATTCAATCCTTTTTTCTAGAGGTATGTGGAAGGTATTAAAGGGAGTAATGATTTTGGGTCATGGAAAGAAAATTGATACCCTGTATATGACTACAAGATTTATAGACATAATTGCTTCTACTGAAGAAGAAAATTAGGCGCAACCATGACACTATAGACTCGGCCATATGAGTCAAAAGGGGATGAAGACTGTGTTCTCGAAAAACAAAATAAGCTCAATTTTTTAAAGGTTGATAGGACCTTAAAACCAAGAAAGCTAAAACTGGTACACACAGGTTTATAGGGACCAACTCTAATAGCATCTCTTGAAGGTTCTCGATATTATATGATTTTCATTGATGACTTTAGCAAGAAGGTATGAGTCTACTTTCTGAAAAATAAATCTGATATGTTTGAAACATTCAAGAAATGGAAGGCTGATTGTTGTAACCCAATTTTTATCCATGTTTTTGATAAATTTTCAGAAAAAATCAAAAATAGCAAAAACACAATGAAAAACCCTAAAAAATGCATTTTGATATATTTGTATTGTTTTTAGCATTTTCAATGTCATCTCAGAAGAATATAAATTTTCAAAGATATTTTGAACGTGTTCATCTTTTAACGTGTTAATTTTACAATCACTATTTTTTTGAGTTGACGTTGATATTACTCACTTTAAAAAGAATACAAAAAAAAAAAGAGGAAAAGAAAAGAAAAGGAAAAGTTAAGGGAATAGTTTGGAAACCCTGAAAAATTTCTCCTGTAAATACTATGCTACAGTGAAAGGAGAGAAGGGGGGGGGGGGGGAGACTAG